CGGGGAAAGGAGAGAGGACCAAGAAACCTACTCATTTCTTGGGGGAGGGGGATGATGGTCTGCGATTTGGTCAAAAATGTACCTGGAAATTCCTAAGCTTCTATTGGGGTGCTTGGGAAAATTCTGAAAAGGCACAGATGAAAACTGTGGGCTCTTTACCTCCGATGTGCACAGGGACTCTACTCTTCAGGGCACAACAGAGGAGCGGCAGGCACACCTGCTTGCACATCTCCAGGGCTGCTAATCATCTCCTCAGGGACCAGAGGTGGCTTGTCTGGAAAAAGACTTGGTCTGGCAAATTTCACCTACAGTGTCTGCTCCACGGCAACCCCACCCCCAGTTCCTTCTCATGATGTCTCTCCCACCTGGAGTCCACCTAGAACTCTGGAGTGATGCCCATAAAGACGGCAGAACAGAGGTGATGGCTGAAGGTCAGCAGCAGCTTTACACAGCGCTATTCAAAGGCCTAAGGGACCACTCTCCATTCTCCTCCTCTAGTTGGAACTGAAAGGCACTGGAGTAGCCATCCGTTCCTCACAAATGCCGCATCTTCATCATAAGCATCAGTCATGATTTCCCCTACAAGCTTTACAACTCAATGTGGGAAAACCGGTCAAGAGGGGAGAAAGATGATACTGCCTGCTTGAAGCCGGGTACGAAACACCCGGATTGAGTGGCACTAAAGCATTTCCAAGGACTTAGGAAAGACAAGAACCAGAGCAGTGCACACCATGACCCGGAGAGTCCACTAAATGATAAGGATCAAATGCTGTCATCCCAAATGAGGTATGGCTAAAATATCAGTGTGCTTTCTTCTCAGAGTGAGGTCCCTTAGTACATCTCTGCTCAGGAAGCTGCATGTGGCTTGAGCCTGTTGCGGGGGAGGGAGGCAGAGAGAAAACAGAGAAAGACACAGAGAGGGCAAGAGCACCTGAGGAGGAAGAGAAGGGGGGAGGTGTAAGGAGCAGAGAAAGAGACAATGGGAGTGGAAGGGAGGTAGGAACATTGGAGAGGTGGGAGTGGGAGAACAGGAACAGGACAGGTCACATGTCAGCAATGTATCCACTGGATGTGTTGGATGTCCAGAACCGAAACAGGGAGGAACAATGGGGAGGGGCAGAGTGGGCAGGCACTGTGAAAGGAAGTGCTTAGCATTTACACTTGGCCAAGCAGGCAGTTCAGCAGATCTCTCCAAGTCAGTCCTGGAGAAGAGGATCACTGCTGCCATCACACACTCTCGTGCAAGGAAGTCCTAGGAGTCACTGTGGCTGGAACACACACTCCTGGAAGATGATCTTCATTCCCTTCTTTCCACGGCCTGGGCAGGTCAGTTTCGTGTCCATGGGCTCTGGAACATCCTCCAGGGGGCTGGTCTGGAACATCCTCTGGGGATACTGGGGTTTGGTCAGGCCATGGCTCCCACTTCTCCATCCCCAACCAGTAGCCGAATGAGGTAATGGATAACAGTCATGAGGGACCGCAAAGATGAGGTCTCAACTCTCTTTTTCAGACTGTGAGAAACCCACAACAATACTTCCAGGAAGGTAATGTCTTTGCTCACAACATGGAGAACTCACCCAATGGCCCAAGAGGAACCGGGAAGGCTGCTCCTCCAAGAAGGCCCTGGAAGGGTCGGTTCCAGAGAGCCCTGGCACGTGTGTCCAAGTTCTTCAGGTGAGGGCTCTGAGTCAGCCTGCCTCTTACCACTCACAGCAAGTTGCAATGACTCTCTCCCTCTCCCCTAGAGAACACCCCAGCCCTCCCCTCCATTCCCACAGGGCTTCTGAGGGTCCACTTGTCTCTCTGTTTCCTTCTCAGGAGAGGCCGCCGGACAGAAAAAGGCTGAGTCCACTGAGGTCCGAGAACGGGGCCATGGCCTTCTGCTGTCCAGGCCTTTGCCCTCCTGAGAATCTTGTTCAGTGCAGTTGAAATAAAGGCCGTCATGCTTTACAATGTTTTGCCTCCATGACATTTCCTTCACTTTCATACTGACACCCACCTCAGATGAGATGATTTGGGTATCAGACTGGATGTCCCGGGAGTGTTGGTGCGAATGGCAGGAACTAGTGTCTTTCTTACTCCAGCTGAGCCATCCACTCACCTTCTTGAGGCAATGATGCTTGCTGCTTGGAGGTGGTGGTGGAGTCCTTGTTCAATGTGCAGTGAATTTCCCACAGCTCTCAGCTCTGACCCCAAGGGGTACTTGCATGTACTGAAAATCCTTGAGGCGTGATGGAGGTGGGTCTTGTATCTTATCTGTTGCTTTCATTGGTTAACTAATAAAGAAAACTGCTTGGCCTGATAGGACAGAAAATTAGGTAGGCGGAGTAAACAGAACAGAAGGCTGGGAGGAAGAAGCCGAGTCAGGCAGTCGCCATGATTCTCCCACTCCAGACAGACGCAGGTTAAGTTCTTTCCTGGTAAGCCAGCTCGTGGTGCTACACAGACTATTAGAGAATATTATCAATATGTAAGAGCTAGCCAATAAGAGGCTGGAACTAATGGGCCAGGCAGTGTTTCAAAGAATACAGTTTCCGTGTAATTATTTCGGGTATAAAGCTAGCCGTGCGGGCGGTCGGGTGCCAGGAACATAGCCCGCCGCTCCCCACTACAGAGTGGCACCCAACGTGATGGACTAAATACACTTAAAAACCTGAGAGGGCTTTAAAAAAGAAAGGAGAGAGAGTTTAACACAGCTTTTGGGTGTTTGTGGGTGGCTTGCCACAAAGAAATTGCCCTGACTCAGCAGCAGGAAAAAAACTGGTTGTTTTAAAATGCCGGCTTTCTGGGCTGTGCCACCATTGCAATCTCTGTCTGGCTCCTAGGGGAGACAGAGTCTTTGAATGGAGCATTTGGAATAAAGTGCTACGGCTTGCTTGATGGCAATGTGGACTGCTGTGTGCCTGGAACTGTGTGTGGTTCAGGGGCACCAAATGGCTCTAAGGTAGGAGTGGCTCAGCTCTGCCATGCTGAACTGTGCTGGTCTTGGGCAGGAACTGCTGTAATTATCATAATAACAACGCAGTTAAGGTTTAGACTGGGCAGGAAACAGGCTCTACCTATTACGGTATTACATCTACATGGCGCAACTTAAGTTTTTAAGAAGTACTTAACATTTTAAGAACTGCTCCTGGATAGTAAAAAAAAAAAATACAGATTCACAATAGGACAGATTCAGACCACTAAATGGATCACAATGTTGGATGAGTGTATGTAGGCTTGAGAGAGAGAAAAAAAATAGAGAGAGAGAATAAAGTTAATGCCCTTAAAAAAAGGGTAAAGTCTTGAAAGAGACAGAGTACAGATAGTTATAGATTAAAAGAAATAAAGAAAAATAAACCACGTAAAAATGGAAAATTCACAGAGAGTCTGGATTATGTACATTGTGTTTTCTTTAAAATATTTGACTGTGAAGGAGCTAAGCACAGAGAGACATTTCATTATATGGGCTGCCAAGTGGAACCAGAACGGATATCATGAGGGTATGACTTCAGAATTTGGGTCTAAGGATATGATGCTTTGAAAAGGGTCTTCTTTTGTTTTCACAGAGGATGAGACCCTGTGGATTGTGTCTATCCCAATATGGAATGATAAACCACACCCTCCTGAAAGGTTGCTGTGAACACCCTGAAAAAATTACTTTGCTCAACTGCAGACTGAGATGAACCTAGCAGACAGGTTATACTGTGAAAGACCTAAATAACAGCGCCCACATTCAGCAGGAATCAGTTTGGAGAGAAATAACTACGTCCATATTCCCAAATATTGTTTATAAATGTTTTTTTTACATTTAAAGGATGGTATGATATAGATATGAATAATTTTCATTGGTATGGATTTTAAGGTCAATTTTGTTATATGTATATGTATTTCTGATCTTGATTAAGGTATTGTGATTGTATAGTTCATTTAAAATGTAATGTATAATTATGAAATATAGGTTTTTAATGGATAATCATCAATAATAGTCAAGCTTGTAGTCATGTTAGTTAGATTTTCTAGATATATAGAGATATATTTCAGTTAGATAGACATTCTTCATATCTTTCAAAGACTGCAGAATATGGCATTTAAATGTTTTAATAACTTAGGGCTTTTCATGACAATGAGACATGTCTGCTTCTGGCAGCACCAATCTACTTCAAGAGGAAGATGGGCATTGAAGAGGCTCCTTATGGAGTTTGTTTAGGCATTTGGGCAAGAAACTGCTCTTGCCTGGACTGATGCATGAACTGGACACAAAGAACCTGCAGAGAGAGGACTGCTGAACTTGCCTAAAGGTGAGATGGTCCTTTGGGGTTCCTGACTCATGAAAGAGTCTGCAAGACATTCTGCAGGACACAGCAGATAGTGACTGAACTGCCTTTGAAATTTCCTGCTTCATGGAAATGTCTGCTGGATACTATGGGCCTGAAGGCTGAAGATGGATGCCCCAACAGTAGAGAGGAACTTTGGATGACTGTTCAGGTAGCGAGATGTCTCTGTCATTTCTAGAGTTTGGATTTCTTGTTTGCTTAGGTAATATTATATCCTTCTGGAGTCTTTGATGGAGTTGAAGAATAAATAGATAGTTATAGTTTTCCTTAGTTATGATAAAAGATAAAGTAGATATAAATATTGTAACTGTAATTCTTACTTGATAACTGTTTTGCTATATGTAATTTACTATGTTAAAGTTAAAGCCTTTCTTTTTTTGTTTAAACAGAAAAGGGGGAAATGATGGAGGTGGGTCTTGTATCTTATCTGTTGCTTTCATTTATTTTCAATAAAGAAAACTGCTTGGCCTGATAGGACAGAAAATTAGGTAGGCGGAGTAAACAGAACAGAAGGCTGGGAGGAAGAAGCCTAGTCAGGCAGTTGCCATGATTCTCCCACTCCAGACAGATGCAGGTTAAGTTCTTTCCTGGTAAGGCAGCTCGTGGTGCTACACAGAATATTAGAAATGGGTTAGATCAATATGTAAGAGCTAGCCAATAAGAGGCTGGAACTAATGGGTCAGGCAGTGTTTAAAAGAATACAGTTTCCGTGAAATTATTTTGGGTATAAAGCTAGCCGTGCAGGCGGTCGGGTGCCAGGAACGTAGCCCGCCGCTCCCCACTACAGAGGAGGGAATAGCATGTCTCTGCCCCCCTTTCACTGCAAAATATCCTCATATGGAGAAATACTTTGCCTCATTTATGAATGGGTAGTGGACGAGTCAGTTTGGGGAAAGCTACATGGTGGAGGTTGCATAATGGGGAGCAAGTAACTTGTAGAAACACTCCCTGGATCCTGCAAAAGGGCTTTAGACTTCCATGCTCACAAACAGTTCCCAGACAACCCCCTGCCTATCAAAACAGTCGCCCTCCAAGGGACAGCCTTTTCTCTAACTACACATGGTTTGTCCTATGTGGGCCTTTCTTGCATTTCCTTGGTGATCTTGAAAGATAACAAAACATAGTTTCCTCAGGACAAGACGTCAGTGGAAGATGGAGCATAGCTGAACCATTGATCCAACATGGAGGAGACCATGTTAGAAATGGCAACAGCTGAGCTGGAGATATGGCTCAGTAATTGAGGCCCTGCTGCTGTTGTAGAGGACCTGGGTTCGATTCCCACCACCCACATCATGGCTCACACCTGAGTATAACTCTAGTTCCAAGAGATCTAACTGACCCACTCTTTGACCTCTCTGGGCACCAGGCACCCACAAGGTGCACAGATGTGTGAAAAACAACCCTGCACATGAAATAAAAATAATTAAAAACAAATTGCAACACCAGTTATCAGAGACTAGGGAAACAATGTTGTGGACTTCAGAAACAACAGGGAATTGGACATCATGGGGGATCCTCAAAATACTTTATTTTCTGTGTAAATGGAGACCAGGACTCACAGTTCCTCCTGGAGTGGGCTCAGCCTTGTAGAAATGGTGAAATTATTGTCTCCACTTGTTCAAGGGAGAGCAGAACACTGGGGTTGCTTGTTCTTCTGTTGGCTCACCCTTTTCCATTCTGCCACATCAGGCTTTCTCATGTTCTTTTGCATCTAGGTGGAAATAAGTCTTGATATATCTGTTGAGTTCTGTACCAATATTATTCATACACCTCTTCCAAAAAAGAGAACAGTTAATTTAGGTGGGATGACCTTGGTATTTGGAGATTGGGGGAGGGGAAGAGGTCATTTACAATGTAGGCATGGAAATGGACCACATCCTTAGGACTTTTCATGGGACAGCCGAGCTTGCTGAGGTGCCTATTAGGACTGTGGGCTATAGACAATGAATCCTCCATGGCTATATTTGAGAAAAACTGACTGTAAGAAGTACAAAATGTACAGCATCCACTATGCAGCCTTCACCACTGACAATGAGCTGTGAGGCTGCAGATGCAAAGGAAACCTTTTGGCATCCCAAAGACAGGGTTTAGATTGACATCCTCATATCCACACCCAAAAGCCCTATTCTAGAGAAAAACAGACCATTCCCACAACACCCACCCCACTTCAACCTCAGATTCCCATAGCACCATCGCCCCCAGTCCCCCAGAAAATATCTCTCCTTATTTCCTTCACAGGAATGAACCAATGAGGGGCTTTAGATCCAGTGATCTCTGGACCCCACATATCTCATTGGAGGCCCCAAGATTGCTGCTACTAGATTCCATGGAGTTTGTGTCTAGAGGACAAGAAGTTTCTAAAGGGGCACCAGCACATAAATGAAATGTGACCAGCAGCCTGCAAGGGTCAAAGTATTCACAGGGCAGCTACTAGGCTCCTGATATCCACTAGAAGCTATCCTAAGAAAGCACAGGAAATGTGGGTCCTTCAAAAGCCATGCTGTATATACAGGCCATCAACTTTGGGTGATGTGGGATTCCTCTCTGTATAATGTGAATACCACTGGTGAATAAAAAAAATGCCTTGGCCTGTTGATAGGGCAGAACTTAGGTAGGTGGGGAAAACTAAACTGAACTCTGGGAGAAAGGAGGCAGAGTCAGGGAGAAGTCATGGGACTGCTGCCAGAGAAAACATTCTGGAACCTTGCCAGTAGGCCACAAGCCTCATGGTAAAATAAAAAATAATGGAGATGGGTTATTTCTAGACATAAGAGCAACCTAGCAATACACTTAAGTAACTGGTCAAGCAATGATTTAATTAATACAGTTTTGTGTGATTATTTCAGGGCTGAGCTGCCAGGAAACAAACTAGCAGCCTCCCAACAACAAATTGGCATGCCAATGTGGTGGACTAAATCCATGTAAAACCTAAAAAGCTTAAAAAGGAATCCTAGACACAAAACAGAGTTAACCATGGTTTAGTAGCAGCATGTTCTTGGGTGGGTTCTGTTTGCTAGAAGCAAGCAGAGGCATGGCTCCTTCAAGAGAGATTTCCTGATTCAGTGATAGTAGAAAAAAAAAGCCATGCTTTTGAATTGCTGGTTTTCTGGACTGTGCTGCCAACATGACCTCTGGTGTTTTCAGGAGGTCCGAGCATTTAAATGGTGGTTTGTGAGCAGATTGCTACAACTTGCTTAATGGCAATAGAGATAGGCTGTGTGCTTAAAAATGAGGCTGTGAGCATGACTCTCAGAGGTAGCAAACAGCTCCACCATGCTGGACTGGACGGAGCAAACAGAAAGTACCATATTTCCTCGAGCAATGGTGCCGCTTAAATTCATAACAAGCGCTTATCATTTTAAGAAGCACTTTTGGTCAGAAAGTAATTATAAATACACAAGAAAGACAAATTCAGATGGAAAAGACCTCTAATTGGGTCACAGTGTTGGATAAATGTACATAGGCTTGGAAGAGATAGTAAAATGAATATAGACAGTTATAAAAACAAGTAAATGGTTTAAAAAAACACAGTCTTTAGAGAGACAGAGTATAGATTGTCATAGATTAAAGGAGTAAAGATAATAAAATAAATATTAAAAAGTAATAGATTTAAAACAAATAAGCCACGTAAAGATGGAGAACACACACAGAGACTGGATTATGTATATTATTGTATTTCCTTTGAATTTTTTGACTGTGAAGGAGCTAAGTAACCAACATATACACTTTAAAGTATCTTGACTTCAGAATTTGAGTCTAAGGATATGTTGCTTTGGAAAAGAGGTTCTTTTATTGTTTCCTCAAAGGATGAGAACCTGTGGATTGCTTCCAGACTAATATGGTTTGATGGACCAATACTCCCCGAAAGGTCACCTTAAACACCCCTCAAAAATTACTTTGCACAGTAAACAGAATGAAGCAGCTTGGAAAGAACTATGCCCATATTCCCAAATATTGTTTATAAATGTTTATTTACATTTAAAGGGAGATATGTTATAGAGATTTGCATTTGGTATGGATCTTGGTTTATTGATAAAAATTTAAGGATAATTTTGTTATTCTGTGTATATGCATTTTTGTTCTTGATTAAGATATTGTGTTTGTCCAGCTCATTTAAAAATTTAATATATAATTAAGAAATATAATAGAGAATCATCTATAATAGTCAAACTTGTAGTCATATTAGTTAGGTTTTCTAGATATATAGAGATATATTTCAGATAGATAAGCATTCTTCAAACATTTAAAAGACTACAGAATATGGCATTTAAAATGTTTTAAGAGCTTAGGACTTTTCATGACAATGAGACACATATGCTCCTGGTAGCATTAATATATTTCAAGAGGATGATGGGTATCAAAGAGGCTCCTTTTGGAGTTGGCTAGACATTTGGGAAAGAAACTGCTCTTGCCTGGACTGCTTGATGAACTGGACATGTAGGTGCCGCAAAGATATATCTGCTGAACTTGCCCATAGGTGAGATGATCCTTCAGGGTTCCTGCGTCATGAAAGAGTCTGCCAAACATTCTGCAGAAATACAGAAGAAAGTAACTGAAAAACTGCTAATATACGCAGAAGTATCTTTGAAATTTCTTGCTGAATGGAAAAGTCTGCAGGATACTATGGACTTGTAGGCTGAAGATGGATGCCCCAACAGTACAGAAGAACTTTGGGTGACTGTCCAGGCAGTGAGATTTCTGTCAATTCTAGAGTTCTGGAAGTTTTTTACAATGTATTCCCTGTTTACTTAGGTAATATTACATCCTTCCTGAAGTCTTTGATGGAGTTGAAGAGTAGATAGTAATAATATAGTTTTCCTTAGTTATGAAAAAAGATAAAGTAGATATAAATATTATAACTGTAATTCGTGCTTGATACCTGTTTTGTTATATGTAATTTTAATATGTTAAAATTAAAACCTTCCAAGGTCCAAATGAGGAGCAGAAGGAGGGAGAACATGAGCAAGGAAGTCAGGACCAAGAGGGGTGCACCCACCCACTGAGACAGTGGGATTGATCTATTGGGAGCTCACCAAGACCAGCTGGACTGGGACTGAAAAAGCATGGGATAAAACCGGACTCTCTGAGCATGGCAAACAATGAGGGCTGATGAGAAGTCAAGGACAATGGCACGGGGTTTTGAACCTACGTAATGTGCTGGCTTTGTGGGAGCCTAGCCAGTTTGGATGTTCACCTTCCTAGATATGGACGGAGGGGGGAGGACCTAGACTTCCCACAGGGCAGGGAACCCTAACTGCTCTTTGTACTGGAGAGGTAGGGGGAAAGGAATGGGGGGGAGGGGGAGAGGAGTGGGCGGAGGGGGGAGGAGTGGAGGGAGGGGGAGGAAAATGGGAGGTGGGGAGGAGGCAGAAATTTTTTCATTAAAATAAAAAAATTAAAACCTTCCTTTTACTTAAACAAAAAGGGGGAGGGGATGTGGGATTCCCCTCTGTATACTGTGAATACCATTGGTGAATAAAGAAACTGTCTTGACCTGTTGATAGGACAGAACTTAGATAGGCAGGGAAAACTAAACTGAATGCTAGGAGAAAGGAGGCAGAGTCAGAGAGAAGTCATGGAGCTGCCAGAGACAGATACACTGGAACCTTGCCAGTAGGTTACAAGCATCGTGGTAAAATATAAAATAATAGAGATGGGTTAATTCTAAGAGCTAGCTAGCAATATGCTTAAGTAATTGGCCAAGCAGTGATTTAATTAATACAGTTTCTATGTGATTATTTCAGGACTCAGCAGGCAGGAATGAAACAAGTGGCCTCCCCCAACATTTGGGTAGAGCTACACTTTCATCAGATCCCTCTCTATTCATGAAAACCTCTGTAGCCCAACCAGATTGGATTGGTGCTGCGGTCTGGCCACCAAGGCTTATGCTGGCTCTGCTAAGACATAGTTCTCTCTCATTTCTGTCAACAGTGGTCCACAACACCAACAGAAAGCTTTACAGCTGCCCCCACACAAGCCTTTTTCTTTTCCAACTTATGGAACCTCACTGTAATCCTACCACTGCCCTCATAACACACTGGCTCTCCCAGGCCTCAGGAGACAACCTCTGCTTTGTGCCCTTGCCTCAGGGGACACTCTCTGTTCTGGTGAAGAAGCACTTGCTCCTTGATGTAAGTGTTACTTTCTATGTGTTGCTTTCATTGGTTAATTAATAAAGAAACTGCCTTGGCCCTGATAGGACAGAAATTAGGTAGGCGGAGTAGACAGAATAGAATGCTGGGAGAAAGAAGCCGAGTCAAGCAGTCGCCATGATTCTCCCACTCCAGATAGACTCAGGTTAAGATCTTTCCTGGTAAGCCACCTCGTGGGCTACACAGAATATTAGAAATGGGTTAGATCAATATGTAAGAGCTAGCCAATAAGACGTTAAAACTAATGGGCCAAGCAGTGTTTAAAAGAATACAGTTTCTGTGTAATTATTTCGGGTAAAGCTAGCCGGGTGGCGGGAAGCAGCCCCTCCGCTCCCACTACTACAGCTCCTTTCCTGCCACTCATTGGAAAGGACGGGTCAAGGACCCAGAGTGTGCAGGGAATGAGCTGCACGTGAGCCAGAGTCCAGAGCACGGACCACAGCTGCTGCTGGTGGGCCTTCCCTCTGGCAAACCCCAAGTCAAGAGTGTCTAGTCCCAGTTGATCCTCATTTATCTCCTCTCTCGGCCACAACTCGAGAGTGTGTCTCCTGCACACGTGTTCTTGCCCTCTCACCATCCCTCCAGTATCCTCTAATTCTAGCCTTCCAGTTCCACGGAAGCAGGGAGTCCACCAGTTGTCCACAACATCCCGACAGGGGGTCACTGGCAGTTTTTACATCTCTAGTGCTGCCTCTCTTGGGGGCCGTTACCTAATGCCAATGAAGCCTGCTGCCTCCCAGATGCCTGTCCTCTGGGCTCCCTGACCACCCCGGTCAAGCCTGCCTGCCGCATCTACCTCAATTATTTACACTGAGAGCCCCAACTAGACTCTCAGATGTGGGGCAGAGCCTGAGTCTGCTGCCTTGCTCTTCCAGTGCCCAACACAGTGCCTCACATAATGGTCACTAGGACACGGGTTAAATAAATGAGTCCATGAGCAAGGTGTCTAGTTCAATTTTATTTTCCCCTACATTCCAGAGCTCTAGGTGAATACAAGTAAACATTAGCTGGTTCTGCTGTGCCAGGTGTTGGCCACATTTGTGTTTTACCTCTGAATATCTGGAGGGGGAATCACAGCGTTACGACTTCCGTCAGCATCTCAAGGAGCTACTGACTCGACCCCAGGATGTTTCAGACATAAAATGACAGTGTCACAATTGTTTTGTATAAACAAAGAAATCTCCCGTAAATAAGGAACAAAGAAACCCTGGATGTATGCCAAGCATAACCGTGGACGCTCATACTTAATCATACGTCTAGAAAAGCAAGGCTTTGGGAAATGTTTTACTATGCCTTTGCTTCCACTCTGATCTGACATGTACATATCGAGGCACTTTTGACTTATCTTATGGCTGCGGGGATGAAACCCACAGCCTTGCCCATTTGAGGAAAGTCTTCTACCACTCAGCCACATCCTCAGCCTTCATCACTTAGTTCTCATGCCTTGAGGCTTCGCAACTGTTTCTCAATGAGAAAGAGGGTAGCTACAGAGAAAGCACAACCTTGCCATGTGCAGACTAGGCACTAAGTCACCAGGAAGCACAGCCCTGGAGCAGAATGCTATGTGTCCTTCCTCACCCTGCTCTAGCCCTGCACTTCCTAATCAGAGCCACAGGGCCTACTGCTCCAGCACCCCTTTGACTACTCACAACAAAAGCAAGGAAGCCTCAGCCATCCCTGGTGGCGGCAGAAGCCCAGACTCCGACCTGAGATGGTGACTGGCCCCTGCACTGTCCATCACTCCGGCATGGCTCTAGCCCTGGCCCTGGCACTTGCCCTGGCACTGGTGCTGATGCTTGCTTGCTTCAGCCACGGCAGGGGCCCTGGAACTGGAACTCGCACTAACTCTCGCACCTGTCACATCATCACCAGCAGCTGCTTCTCGGCCACCGCACTGTGAGCACTGGGCACTTCCTCCTCTTCTTTCAAGGCCTCATTTACTGCCACAGCCAAGGCTCTGGGCCGGGTGTCATTCACTTGGGCCACAAACTCCTGGCCTTCCATCTGTCTTGTTTCCTTGGAGGGCCCCACAAGAATACTGAGAGACAGCACTGGACTGCTGGAGGGCACCTACTCGTGCACCACAAACTTGTGCTGCACACAAGCTCTGGCCATTCCCTTTGGTGACGGCTCCCCAAGGACGGGATGCTTTTTAGGCGAGCATACCTCCAGCACCCTCCACACCTCCCCGAACACCTCCTCTGGGACACAGCTGGCCTGCACGAAGATCAAGTCCGGGATACTCAGCAGAAAGCCCAGTCTTTGGCGTGCTTGCCCTGGTCTGGTCGCCTGTCAGGCCCCCAAGGCAGGGCAGGCTGATTTTTTTTTTTTTTTCCTGTTAGGGACATAGGCGTGCTCTGGAGGGCCAAGTTCCTTCACCTAGACCCAAAGACTAACTCGGGGAGGTCAGAGGTTCTCTTGAAAATCTCGGGGAAGAAGCTCCTGCACCTTTAGGATAACACACTTCAGCATGTCTGCCCTTTTGATCCACACAGTCTTCGCGTTCTTAGCCAGCAGGTACTGCGCCAGCAGCTCAGCTACTTTCTAGCTCCCAGGGCTCTGGGCATGCGCGCCAGGGGTGGTGGGGCCCGCGGGGTGCTCGGCGGGGGATCCCCTAGGGGCTTGGGGGGTCCACAAAGGAGCTCGCAGAAGCACCTGGGCGGGGGAGGGGGGCTACGTGCCTCAGAAGAAATGCTCTTGGGGCTCCGGGCAGCACTTAGCGTCCCCGCTGCCGGCGCCCCCGCGGGGTTTCCTGGGCAAGGAGGAGAGAAGGAGGCCAGGGGCCCTCTGAGACCCGCAGGCCCTGGGTGCCACCTCTACCGCGGACGTTCTCACCTGCGGCTTTGGCTGGCCCGGGAAGCAGGAACTCGGGGAGGAGATGCGCGTCCACGGGCATTAGGCGGCCGGCCCGAGCGCTGGCTGCGAGGCCGCGAGGACCGTGACGTCGCCGCGGACGCTGAGGCGGCCGCCGAGGACACCCGCAGCCCCTGGGTCTGGAGTCCCAGGCTGCGGCCCTCACACCCCGAGGACCAGGAAGCGGGCAGGGGAGGGGGCGCAGCCTCCGCCGCGACCTGTGGGAACGCGCTGGCGCCGCCCCGCAGCGCCTCTGCCGGCCGGGGACGGTACTGCAGCCCCGGGCCGGAAGGGTGCGGGGGCGCTGCTCCCAGAGGTGGGGGCCGCTGAGGCCAGCCTTTCAAGAGACCAGAAGCCTCGGGACCACACTCAAAGCAAGCCTGCCTTCCTCCCTATTGGCTGTTACTGGGAAGAATCGGTCCTTTGGGATCACCTGTGTCTCCCTCCCCCTGCTCCTCGAGGAGCCAGCTCCCTAGGAGACAGATGGCTCTGCTCCTGAGTGGAGGGAGGCCTTTCTCCAGCAACAGGCCCTCCTGCTTCCTCTAGGCGTGCTCCACTTGGGAGGGCTGCGGTGGTCGCATGCCCTTTCGGTATGTGGCCTCTCCACTACACAGTCCAGAGAGACATTAAGTATAATCTAACTTTCCAGAGCCCATGGCATCTTTGTTTACTTAGTCCTCTGCCTCCCACTTCACTGGACCTCTTTGTTCCCCCACACAGTACTTTCTTTCCTCAGGCCTGTCATCTGACATTCAGGAACCTTCAATAAACCCTGAGCACAGAGGTCAGCTCCCAGGCAGCCCACAAGGAACCAGAAGATTTCTCCACCCCAGCCGTTGGCTCTTTTTGTTGCAGCGTGTCCAACAGGTTAGAATTCCGTTTAAAGCCTACCCTTTCTAGACAGTAAGCTATCAGCCTCTTTTTCTTAATGTCTACGACTGGCTCTGTATCCCTATGAAATGGTCCCTGAATTTCCACATGATGCCGATGCTTCTGTTTTTCAAATTTCTCCCGCTGCTGGCATTTTATTGCTGCTCCTCCTGTTATGGAGACTTGAGCATGTTTTATCGTCTGAATAAAATAATTTCCCCTCATTATTCTGTTTTCAAATCTTTTGAAAAATCTTGTCCTCTATATGAATATCATGGTCAAAATTTGCTAATATCAAGACGTCCATGGCTTGATTTGCACCAGGATAGCCGGGTATGTAGAGCTCAGCACCAAGGACAGTTAGCATCTGGAAAATGTGCAGGTTATCAACCACAAAAACGTACGTCCTGCCATTGATTCTGGCTTCTATTCAGGGTACTTCAGTTTTCTTTGTAAGTTGCCTTGAGTACCTATTGCATTTTTCTGATGTTTTTCAATGCCCCCTTTTGTTTTACTGTTGCTCTGAGTTGGATATTTCCCCACCGTGTGTTCTAATTATTTTTGACATGTCAGAAGCCCGGTTGTCTCCTATCTTTAACTGATCTGCTATAAAGCCATATGAACAACAACTGCCCTTAACTGGAATTCGCTCTCAGTGGGTGTTCATTGCATGCTGCAGTTCCTTTATGGCTTTCTTCTTTCTAGTCACTCTGACTAGGACTGTGATACTTTGTTGTCTAATGTTCCTCCTATGAAATTTCTGCTGTTGTCTTTATCCAGAGGGAATCTAGTGCCTTTAAACTAAATGCAGTAGGTTGTGGGTTCCTGATGTCCCTAGAGTTCATTTCCTATCTATTGTTTGTCCTGGTCCAAATCAGTTTTCCTTTGTCCGGCCTGGTGGCAGAGGAGCTGGTAACGGTTACCCTTTCTCCTGTGCCAGCTAAGCAAGCGCTAGGTGCTGTAGGTGTCAAACACTGGAGTGGTCCGGCAAGTCCCAGCAGGGACGTACTTCCCTTCCATTCCAGCATCCAGGTTAGGGTGTTCACTGTGGGGAGGTCAGAGGTCAGCACAGATAAACTCCAGCTGCCCCTCAGGGCTTGCTCGCCTTCCCATGGTTGCCTGTCTTAGGGTTTCTATTGCCGTGAAAGACACCATGACCAAGGCAACTCTTCTAAGGAAAACATTTGATTGGGGCTGGCTTACAGTTTCAGAGGTTTAGTTCATTATCATCATGGCAGGACATGGTGGGGCATGCAGGTGGACATGGTGCTCTGAGAAGGCGCTGAGAATTCTACATCTTGATCTACAGCAGCAGAAGGAGGCTACATCACTGGGTGTAGCTTCAGCATATGAGACCTCAAAGCCCACCCCCACAGTGACACACTTCCTCCAACAAGGCCACTCCTGCTCCAACAAGGCAACACCTCCTAATAGTGCCATTTCCTATAGGCCAAACATTCAAACACACGAGTCTATGGGGGCCATACCTAATCAAACCACCACACTGCCCCTGGGGGACTCACCCCTCCATGGACCACCACGCTCCACAACTCTGCAATGGAGGTCTCTTCTATAGAGTCACACAGACCCTTATTCTCTGGCAAGTTTCTCCATCCCGGGACAAAAAGATCTTTTCACATCCATGCTGTCTCCAAGAGGTCTGATTGCAGCCAGGGAGGGAGGGAGTGCCTTCTCTTACTCCCGCGACCTCTGTCCTTTCTCATCCTACAGGTAGGAACTACTCTTTTGTAGCCATAACTTTTGAACTCTTAAAGGTGCTTTTTCACTCTCTTGACTGCTCAGGCAATCTTATACTCCACATAACAGCATTGTCTCTGCCTCCAGATTGGACCCTCACCCGCAAGATAATCATCACCAGAAAAATTTTCCACTAAACAAAACCCTGTGGAGTTTTATTTGGACAGGAATTTTAAATCCCACTCAAAGGTGTTTCAGTATCAATGATTCACATCGTTTCTCTTTGGGTGGCTTTTAACTGTTAAAAACAAGAAAGAAAAGAAGAAGAAAGCAAGCCAAGGGAACATGCTGGAACCTCTGACTGTGCACTCATTAAAATTCTGCCAGCAGTACACAGTCTTCTCTGCCTTGGTCACTAAGCACAGGCAGTTGGACACTTGACGGGTTTCACCTATGTTCTGGACTGGAGCCCAGGCACCTCCACTGAGAAACTGTGCCTTCTCGTTACTTCACCCCTGATAAAATCAACCATCAGCCCAGCGAGATGTCTGCCACTTACCTCTGCCCACAACCAGATGAGACTGTGTTCTGCAGTCCAAGAACAGGCAAAAAGCCAAGGCCAATGCACTTGCAATTGCAGAAGAGCCACCATACAACAACCCACACTGCCAGCAGCCTGCTGCTAGCCATGCTCATAGGGAAGGGATGGAGTCCCAGGTCTGTCCTGCTCTGTGCATCACTCTATATGCTGTTGCTGAGACTTAAGGCACTCCAACCCACACCATTGCCACATACAGCTCATGTTCGCATGCTCTAGAAATTCAAGAGGCAGAAACAACAACAACCAAAACAAAAACATGTCACCAATCTGTCCTCAGTCAGGCAGGAATTGAAGTAGTGACAACTATTTTTTAAGTGGTTAAACCCAGGGAAACATTCAGGTGGAAACAGAGACAGGTGTGACCCAACATATTGGCCATCGAATGTGATAGAAGACTGGAAATGAGTTCATGACATTTACTGATGTTTTCAGGGAATAAGCACTCACCAGAGGTGTTCACATGCAGATGCGCATCCTGGCTCTGGTTGCCAGAAAAAAAATACAGGGTGTCCAGGCAGGTTTGAATCTCAGAGCAGCAGCAAAGACTGTTTAGTGTGTGCTTTTTCTGTGTGGAGAGGAAGACTTGTAGGAGGCAATTTCAAAATCCAGAATAAGTATTATTTAGGTGAAAATCAGTGAGCTAGATGATCTGTACTGTGTTTGCCCAGTCTACAACAGTAATCCCAGAGAAACAGTCCCATAATTGGTGCTGTGAAGGAGAATTGCTATTGCCGTGTTATGTGGAATAACTGGGAAAGTGAAAATAACTAGTAAAATAAAATATTCATGAGAAGAATGTTTTAACCATTTCCATTGTGCTTAAATACCACATGCCAATTAAAAGATCTAGGCATATATATTGAGAGAGATGAATATATATACATTGACATGAAAAATATATTATTTGGTTACAAATGTGGAGTGTTGATCATGGTGGCAGACATCTGTACTCAACAAATGAGAGGGACTTGCAAGAGAATCAGAAGTAGTACAAAGCCAGAATCTTTACCATAGTGATTTCCAGGCTAGCCTGGGCTAGTTGTGATCCTGTGTCGAAGACAATTTCCTGGAGCAATTTTATACCGCTTAGTAACAAAAAAGAGCAAGCATCACATGACAAACTGTTGTACATCAGTTAGTGTAAGTGCATAAAGGTCAGGCTAAAGGGATTTCTTCGGTGAGCATTGAAGTATGCACTGATATTTTTGAGTCTTAGTATAAATATTATCTAAACTTACCAAATTACATGTCTACATTGCTTTAGGTCTGGGATCTGGGATTTGTAAAGATTGTTGATATATTTATCTCGATGCAACACAATCAATCCTAGTCTAGGTATTCTACCTTTGGGGAATGGGACTAGGTCTGACATGTGGAACTCACTGTGTAGACCAGGCTGGCCTCTACTTACTGTGATTGTCTACCACTGCCTACCATGCTGGGGTTGCAGGCATGTACACAAACACCTCGCTTCAATTAGTGTATCTCTAGACAATTTGTATTCATGCATGTTTCCCTCGTTTCTTTTCTCTTCCACCATGACATAACAACAGGTTTACGCACATCGCTCTCCCATCTACTAGAAAATCTTCCATTGATATGTTATCCTCCTTTTCTTCAGGGAAGCTTGAAATATTGAGGATTGTTAACCGATGCATTGTCCAGAGGTGATGGCATAGTACAGGTCTAATAAGCCCTAACATAAAATGATCATGATGAATAGAATTCTAAATCTCTTAAATTCAACAATTAAAAGGGAGTCTTTGCATTTTAGGAACACATGATTTCCAGGTGCAAAGTCTTAAATTCAACTAACACCATCAAAACAGAAACAAAATCAAGAAAGAGGGAGAGATTGAGGATTTGAGTGGAAATATAAAGTCAGAAATAAAGCTTGCAGACAGACCTGTGTGAGGTTAGTTTTGTGCTGAGATAATTCAAATTGAAGCATCAGTTACATACTGTAAAACGAACAAGTGCAGGTGGGAAGTCTACAGGTAGCTGATTATTGCAAAATGCACTGGACCTTGTAGCTAAAGCACAGATCAGAATAGAGATAACTTAAATCACTCCCAGAATTCCCCCATGTTCCTTTCTAATCAGTACCCACTGCCTTCCCCAGGCATAGCTACCTTTCTTCTTTGTATCCGCATAAATTTTGCCCATTCTGTACCCGTTTACTTATTGAACCATTAGATGTTCTTTTACCTGACTTCTTTTTCTCAGTATAATGATTTTAAGATTCGTCAGCATCATGCAGATCCATAATACTTCCCTGTTTCTAACGCTATCCAACTTGCAGATGAATATATCCCACCCCTACTACAGAGGGGATATTCTGGCCAGCTGCCAGCTCTATGATTCCCTGTCCTTAGAAGATGTGTATGAAAATCAAGATAATTCACACACTTCATCTAGCACTAGGTTACATGATGTGAATATTTACTGCTCACCCAGGCACACTCAACATGAGGTTAGCCCCTGAAGGAGACAAGAGTATGGCAAATGCTGGAAAACATTCGAGACAGGAAAAGCCTGGGAGGTTTTTGAATAGTGCCGAAGGAGCTATCTGTCTCTTGCAGCACATTACAGTCATGGAGAAAGGAGCAGGGAAATCTGGGTTGGCAGATTGTGGGTGAAGCTGCTAAGAGAGAGTTTAGCAAGGTGGGATATGGGACATGAGTTGTCAGAGGCAGGGCAAATGAGTCAGTTACTGTTCAAATATTGTATTGCTCAGATTCCTTTCACATGTGGGGAAGAGGAGTATGTTACAGCATGTAAGCATGAGAAACCAAACAGCCATGTGCAATTATGTGGTTCCTGATCCATATTCACGGCAAAGAAGGTGGCATGATCACCAGAGCAGATAAGAGGTCTGACATTAGGAGATGTAGCTACAGTGATGTGTATGTGTTGGTTAGCACAGGGCTATCCCTAAGCAGTAGCTTCTCCACTGGAGGTCCAAGGGACAAGATGGAGCCCTAATGTTAATGGGGTTTGTATTCCTAAGGTGGGAGTATGCATGTAAACCATGTGAGGAGTGCTTTACTACTTGTGATGTGGAGAACAAGGGAGAAGACAACTGTGACCCAGGAGCCTGGAATATGGGTGTTGTCTGAGCCATAGTCATCCTTTGGGATTTAAGGGTTGGCTGGCTGTGCCAATGGGCTTTGAAGATTAGTCCAGCTCTTGGGCCAGATCCAGGAGTCAGTCATGAAAACTAATATGAAGATGGGTCAGAGGAGGACTACAAACACAGGACCACATTATGTCTTGTCCTGATAGTACAACGTGCCTTGTGTGTGATAGTGTAGAGGAATAGCTGTACACTGAAGATAAAGATACTGTGGTATTGTATAGGTGGGCTAGCAATTAGCCACAAAAACCAGACCCTAGATATTTATGTGCCCATAAGTCAGTGGGTAACACCAGGCCAGTGCTAGCTACAAGCCCCACAGGAATGTTTTCAAGATTTTAGAGAGTTCTCTGCGTGTACAGTGTCTACCTGTAGTGATAGGTGCCTTCTATGTTCTTGGGCTCACAGGCAGCCCAGATTTAGGATTGAGGGTGGTAAATAAATAGCATCAGTTATGCTATTATAAAATATTAACATCAGGGCCACCTTGGGGTCTTTTTACCTTTCTGCAAGGTGTGCATGATGCTAGACATTGGCCTATATACAATATACAGTATATATATATATATATATATATATATATATATATATATATATATATACAAATATATATTTCCTGGCAGAAAGGACTTGACAGCAGATAACCTTTAAGCCCATCATAACTGGTGAAAGTTTTAGAATAGTAACACCTGCTTCTGGAAAAATACTGCCAGATGAGATATTCTCTGTTCCAAGTAGGGTCAGGTAGTTCCAGTCCCCTATGTGTACTGGGTACAGGTGTTATTCCTTTGTGGATCAGGCTAGCACTGAAACAGAATACAAACTGGAGTAGTCAGATTCGAGGATGGTGGGGTACCAGTGAGACTCCATGGCATGGAGCCCCTAAATGTCTCCACTGGAGGTTCAAATTTTGGGAATCTAAGAAATCCCACTGAGGTTCATTTGGCTTGCCCAGTATTTAGCAGGGTCTCCTTTATTTACCAAGACTTACTTTGTGGGTCAGGACATGGGTGCCAGATGTTATGAATGCCACTTTCAGGGGCCTCTGATCATCACAAAGCTCAACAGAGTCATGGTGATGATGGTGTACACTAGAGTGGTCTGTTACTTCTGTGTTTCAGTTTACAACTACCTTAGAGTAGCGTATTACCCAAGGAAGGATTTCCTCTGACTCACAGTTTCAAAAGGGTCAGTTGATCATGGAGGCAGAGGAAACAATACCTAGTGGCAGACAGGAAGTAGTGACAATATGAGAGAAAGGGGACCAAGGATCATGTGGTGTAGGAGGTTCTTCTGTTCATGTATTGCTTTTATTGGCTAATGAATAAAGGAACTGCCTTGGCCTAGTTGATAGAGTGGAACTTAGGTTGGCAGAGAAAACACAACTGAATGCTAGGAGGAAGAAAAGCAGAGTCAGGAGAAGCCATGGATCCTCCATCTCAGACAGACACCGGTTAGAATCTTGCCAGTAAGCCACAGCCACGTGGCAATACATAGATTAATAGAAATGGGCTACATCAAGATGTAAGAGTTAGCCAATAAGAAGTTAGAGCTAATGGGCAAGGCAGTGTTTAAATTAATACAGTTTCTGCGTGGTTATTTCGGGTGTAAGTTAGCCAGGCAGAAGGAACAAACAAGGGGCTGTTGCGGGAGGTCCTTCTGCTCCTCCAGCCAATAACCGCTGAGATACCAGCCCATTGGGGCCTGGTCTCTCTCCCTTTAAAAAAGCGGCCACTTCCCTTCTCGCTCTCTATTACTTCCTGCTCCGCTTCCGGCAACTAGACTCCCTTCCTGATTGTGCAGAGGGCTGTTGTCTGGGACGGTGATCTGTACGTTTTTTCCCCTTTAAATAAATAACCATTCTATTAATCATAATTCTAAACTGGTGTGGGATTGTTTTTGACTTACACCTTTGCCTTCAAGGAGCCCTCTCCATACAACAGTTGGTGCTTCAACATGGTCAACTAACTCCATGTAAAACCTGAGAGGGCTTAAAAAGGAATTTTAGAAGAAAAAAAAATAGAGAAAGTTTAACACAGCAGTTTGCTGTTTGAAGGCGTCATGC